CCCCTATGTTCAAATTTTTGGCGGATTTGGTGACTTAGGCAATTTACAAATGGGCTGGGTGCCGAAATTCTTGGAGTCCAAACGGCATTAACCAGATCGATCCGTATATTTTGCTTTGTCGCGGGTTCTGTCAGTTCGTAGTGTTTCTCCGCATTGGTAATGTGAACGTGGCTTCAACTCATACCCTGTGCTGTTGAAGTTTCAACTGCTAATTAAACTAAAGAAGTAGTTCTAGATGACGATATGTATGACTATGGAGAGGACGAAAGTGACGACGACGGTGATTATGCTGAAGAGGACGAGGACAGCGGACAAGGCGAAAACTAACATGAAGAATTTATAGCACCAGTTGTTTTCACGCATAATTTCTTACTCGTTTCTTCCCATTACAGTTTCGTACTACTACTACTGCTATCATTTTTTTCGGTAATGAAATACTCGTGTTTTATATGGTCATGTAGTCCCCTGGGTATGTACCATAGCATTGCCTTCTCATTCTCCTCACTCGTCATTTCATTTGTGAATTTTGTGTGTGTTGTACTAGGCATATATCAATTGTGCAGCACTTGGTCTGTATATTATTACATTATTTTTTGGATTTATTCACAAATTTTAACGATTACACATACATTTTGAATCCATCATCCGTTGTATAGGGAGTTCTTCTCATATTGCTCATCGTTGTGAAGATTCGTAGCTGATAGTACCCTGTCATTGCACTAGTCCAAAATTGTGGCATTTTCGTTCAGTTCAGTCCAATTGGATCCATCCACATGTTTTCTGTCCCGAAACTGTATACTTCTTAATGTGATATTATTTGTGTTCTATCGGTGATAGGAATTTTCTTGTCATTCAAATAATAAAGTTGACTGTCTATATTGTTGCTTATTGGAAGCGTATTATGTCGCAGAAGTTTTATTTGCTCCCCTTTTAGATGGGAAATTTGGGACATTACTGCCTATTTTTGACAATTTTAGTGCTGTGAACATGAGTCGACGACAAAATCCATCAGAATTTCTGAAACAGATTATTGGAAAGCCGGTTGTGGTGAAGCTGAATTCAGGTGTTGATTACCGTGGAATCCTCGCCTGCCTTGACGGGTATGCGTGCACAACTGTTGTGTGATCGTGTGACTTTTTGTGGTTACCGCTGTTACGTCAAAAGCATTGATTGCCGTGACTAGGGTTTTGGTTATAGGCCAGAGATTAGGGGCGTTGGCACAAAGGGTACACCATCGTTGTGATCATCACAAGGGGAGTAGGGGGTCGTATTTGGGTGCGAGGCAGAAAAATTTTGATATTGATTTCTCTCTCCTCACGGACGCGTGGGGCGCGGGGTCGCACTCGGGCATTCTTTGGCAGGGGGGGGGCTCCGTATTTAGTCAGTTCATGGACGCACTACTATTTACACTTACACACTTGAAAATGATAGTTTAATTTTGACGACCTCCCCCCCACTCGACGGCTCGGTTCGATGAGGAAGGACAGAGGGCTGGGGGGGGGTCGCCCGCGTACCTACAACACCCAAAGGGGGTCGTATTTTAGAATGGAATTAGGGGGTTGCAATTTTCAGGAAATGATCACAACGCGATGGTTGCCCTGTCGGCACACCCCAGCTAGTGGGAAGGGCACCATTTTTAATTTTCGCTGTTCCAATAGTCCGTATTAGATTGCTTTACAAAAGGGAGTGTGACCGAGCAGTTTCTCTCATCGGACTAGTATCAGCCTCGGCTGGCTTGGCCAGAGTTGCACACACAACGATCTTTTGGATGGCTCGACCACCGCCGGTCCACGGGAGCCGAGTACGCGGTGGAAGTGCAGAATGCCCTCCCCTCGCGGTCGCGCGTCAGGCTGGGCCCCGAAATGGCGCGCGCCGGCGCGCGCGTTGAGCTGGGCGGACAAGTCTGCGTGCAAACCAATTGGTGAAGGAAAAAGAGACCAACATCAGAGTGTCTTTAACTGGGGCGGCGAAGCCGATGTCATACTATATAACGCAAGACTGCTTTTCATTATTCCGTCCCTCAGCAGAGATGGCGGTGTAGTACGTGCTTCATTTACACGAATGGCTAGCTGCGCGGGGCCGGGGCGCTCCGCGTGCGTGGCGGCCCTTGCCCCCCTGCGGGCTGAATTGCCGCAAGATAGAGCCGACCGCACCTACGAGGCACACGCGTCTGGCCTCTGGCAAGGCATGTTCGGAAGTTTCTTCCATGTCTTTTTTTTTCTGAAATTGCGGAGTTCGATTTAGTTCCAATGGAGAAGTTATAGGCAGCAAGAACGATTTTCGGGCGTTGGAAATAGATTTCGATGGGCAGGATGGGTAGTTTACAAGTTTGTCTGGGAAGATTCATATTATTTTCCACACAAGACAGGGGTTGACAGTTGTCTCAGAAATTTGACTCGTGTCCCGCGAAAACTGCATTGTACACCATGTTCAAGTTTGAAAAAATACGTTAGCTTGGTTCCCTTTTCCATCTCCAGGAGAGAGTGTATGTGCTAACGATGTTAGACGCCTCTTCTTGTTTTGCGAAATTACCGTGACAGTGCTAGAATAGCCTGTTGCTGGCCTGAATGAGAGTACGGTGCCAGTTACAATTTACCTTAATTTATCAGCGACGAACGACTCATGCGGCCGAAATCTACACTGTAAGGCTTGGGCTGCCCGCTTAACAATTTATTGAAAGTAAAGTACCTGACCCTTTCAGGAAGCGCCATGACCATGAATGAATTTGCTTGTTGGGCCCAATTCTCAGCCCATTCCACCACCAGCAGACGTATGACACGGCCCCTTCAAGTGAAAAGTTCACATTCACCTACATTTATTTCCCTACTCACCTACAATTTGCCGTTATTTTCCCGTATTCCTCAAAAAAAACCGTAGCGAGGGAGGGAGGGGGGATGAAGATGCAGTGAACACTAGAAACGAAGGGTCGATTAACACGTTCCGGACCGCGCGACACACCTGGTGTGCCGTGATTTCGTCTATAGGCGGTGTTTCATCGAGATGATTTGTCTCTTTCATGTCCCAATGTTCTCGAAATGTTCTCGGAAGATGGTTACCTTATAAACGATTGAAGAGAGGTGAAAAATTATCGACGACTTACTGAAGAAAAATCTTAAAATGAGCAGGAGATGCAGTACGGCGGTCCGCAGTGTGTTAAATTCACGATGTCTATTTCCTGTCTGAGGTTTTGTTAAGCTCCAAGCCAAGACTTTCAACGATCTTTTCCAGCTGACATTTTGGCGAGGTCACCTCCGTAGATCCCGGAAGATCGGAAGACTCTTGATAAGCCATTCTTTCCTAGCACATTTCAGTTTGCGGGGAAAAACAACAAAGGTCATAAACTTCTGAAAAGGCTGGTAACTTTCCTTGAAGTGAAGTTGGGCTTGGAACTTGGTTGAAACAGTGTCTATAACGGGCAGCTTGTGAGTAGGCAACAAAAATTAAGAGCGAACAAATCAAAACTAGTGGTGAATCACTTATGTATAATAAGTCGCACCTTCTGTTATGTGTGCAGAATGTTTTTTCAAAGAATCGAACTGTTTGGTGCCAAGTACAGTCATATCCCGGAGATGGAGAGGGCGTGGTTATGTGCTCCAAGTGGACGTTGCCGACACTGCGCTTCTAGTGAAATAAGGTCGTTTTGGGACAATTTTAATCACGTTGTCTGAAATCAGACAGGAAGGCATGTGGCGCTATAATGTCCGATGCAAGACGCATGCTACGCCATATCTGGAGGAAGTACGCATCCACGCCCACTCCATCTTTGGGATGTGAACTGTACACAGCATCAGACTGGTTCGAAGTCTGTGTTGTATATCGCTTGGCGCGCTGAAGGACGAATGCCGTCATTGCCAGATGTTTGGAATACAAACAGTCGACAAGAGATGTTAAATGAGTCCTTTGTTCAGGTTCATGAACATTGCACTGGAGCAGACGGAGGAGTACAATAATGGCCAGCTGCAAAGCAAGTATGGCGATGCGTTTATCCGTGGAAACAATGTTCTGTATATTTCGACGTTAAAACGATAGACGATGGAATTGTGGACGAGTGCATTTCTAAACATGGCTCATTATATTGGACGAGTGCTTTTTCAGGTCATTTCAGTGAAGCCACTACTTGTATTCTGATTGTCTGTGCTTTTTTGAATTGCTGTTTTGATGTGATCTCTAGGGTTAATAAATATTAAGCCTTTTCATAAGTATTTTTACAATTGTTCATGATTTATGAAGGGATCTGGAGAAAGTGTATGTATGTTACCAAATAATGTTGTTACTTAATCATGAGCGTATTTGAAAGTCATCGGGGTTATCCGATTTCTTTGAAAAACGATTGGGATCTGCTGTAGTTCTGTGCTGATCTTGATCTTTG